ATATATCTCAAGTTAAGGGGTTTTGGGTTTTAATTTCTTGTTTTGTTGGGGTTCATGGTATTTCGTGGTTTGTTTTGTGTTTGCCTTTACTTTTTGGCCTTTGGGTGTGTATCCTGGCTGCCCTTCATGTTTCATTTTAAGCAACTGGCTGTGGAGTCAAAAACACTTGCGTACTGAAACCCTGTGTCAGGGCTCCTGTCTCCTGTCTCTCTTGTTCTTCTGTGTTGGCTTTTCCATGTTTAAAGAAGATGGGCATCCTGGGGACGTCAGAGGGGAAACCCTGGAACCTGCTTTGCACTTTTGGGTCCTTAAAGGGGACAAGGTGGAGTGGCTAGTGAGCAACTGGGGCAAGATCTGGAAAGAAAAGGAAAGGGAGGGGCAAGTCCCCGAGGGTGGGCTGGTGGGGAGAACTACTTACCTCCATTGGTTTAGGGTGTGTCTGTGTGTGTGCAGGCGTGTGTGCATGTGCGCGTGTGTGTGTATGTGCATGTGCACGCACATTGGAGGGAGGAGCACCCTTTTAAAGGCTGTGAGGCATGGTCCTCTCTAACTCCAGGAAATCACCTGCCTCCTGCCTCTTTCCTGCCCTGGACCACCCACGTCGCATCAGACTGCAGGGTCTTACCACAGCCCTCACTGTTGAGCCAGTGTCCTGGCTGCCCACCCACATACTGCAGACCTTCCGAGGCTCCGGTTGCCTACGATCCAGCTACTATGGAGGCAAGAGGCTCGACTTGTCTGGGTGCCCTGGATTTTAGAACTTTTCTTCCCACTTCTGAAAAACAGCAGTAGAAGCTATGATTCCTTCTGACCACTGCCTCCAGAATGTGCCTGTTACTGTTTGAGGGGAAGGGGATGTTTGATAGGCCTGGGATGAGACCGTTTTAAGCAGCATTCTTAGGGCCTCTCATTGTGGTTTAGGTCTCTGGAGAGCCCTGTCAGTGTATAGGCCAGGAGATCTGTATGTCTGGCCAACTGGAGTCCAGCCATCCCCAGGAAAGAACTGTGAGCTGCTCTCTTTGCTCAAGCCCCAGGAGCAGCCTCAACCAGAGTCTTTCTGACCAGATGGAGGAGTATCGTCCCCTTGGAGCCCCAGCATGAATTATCCTCACTGTCCTTCGCTTCCCCACTTTCTGATCCCGAGGCCCTCCGGTATAGTTGCCTTAGGTTCCCAAACAACCTCATAACAGTAAATTCCAGGTCAGTCTTCTGTTTGGCACTTGCCATTAGGAACTCAGATATGTCAATAGATCATGAAAGCCATGTGGTGAGGGCAAGGACTCAGCTGGGCCCAGGCTGGTTTGGGAGCTTGAAGAGGTGGGCAAGGGCACTGGGGTGGTCGGAAAGACTTTCTGGGAGAGGTGATGTCCGTACACTTTAGTAGGAAAGTAGGAATTGGGTGGCAAGGGAAAATCTCTGAACTGAGGAGACAATCTGAGCAAAGGTTTGGGGACGAAGGTAATATGTGCAGGAAACTACAACCCACTTCAGTGTCACTGCAGCTGGAAGGGACAGGTGGGGAGGGAGGATGCAGGAGCCCTGCTGGCCATGCCAAGGAGCAAGGCCCGACTTTTGCCTTAGGTGACATGGAACCATGGCAGACTTGAAACTGGGTAGTGAGAGTGGTTGGTTCTTGTTTTAATAAATTGAAGAAATTGTGTTGAAAGTGGGGCAGGTAGAGGGAGGAAAAGGTAATTGCTTGAGGTTCCACAAAGGATGAAGGGAGAAGGGTGGGAGCTCTACAAGGAGTTCCTTTGAAGACAGGAAGGAGATGCTGTGGGCAGCATCAGGGTGACCCAAAGGAATAGGCAGTGGCCTTCGGGCGAGCCATGGACAGCTACTGACATTTGGGCTTGGTTATGTGGGTGCTCACACCCCGTTAGTCCCCCGGAAAAAGACCAAGTTAAAAGTGGAACAAAACAGCAGTGTCTTCTTTCCTTGCTTTTGGGTTCCTTTCCCCATACCTTCTCCGGAGTCCTCTGGCTGCCCCTCAGCCCGGGTGGGAAGATCAAAGCAGGAGGGATGACCTGCCGCGATGTGATAGGAAATCTGCATCCCTGGTGGAGATGGCATAGGGACGGTGGCCTCTTACTAAACGACCTCTCCAATCCTTTCAGTGTGGCCTAGGGGAAAGGGGCCAGCTCCACCACTTACCATGCCGGTTGGTTAACTTTGGGCAAGAACCCAATGTTTCCGAGCCTTAGTTGCCCAATCTGCCAAATGGGGCTCAATTTACGGACTACGGAAGAGAATCATACCGAGTAAACACAGCTGTTCAGCTCGAAGTAGTTCCTCCCACAGGCCCGAGGTCATGAGCCTACAGTTAGTTAACGATGGTCTCCCCAGGTTGTTCCTCTGGGGTGTGGGGTTGAACCGGAGGCCCTGTCCGAGTGTCAGTATTCCGGGAGAAAAGGGCCATCCGCTGTCTCCGCATCCCTATTGGGGTGGGAGGGGGCGGATTGGGCAGTAAACTCACGCCCCTTCCACATTCTAACCTATGACGGAGGAAGCTTGTCAGGTGTGTTTATTGTGCCCTGCCCCGCTAAGACGTGTGCGTGCGTGTGTGTGACGGGGAGGGTGGGGTCCGCCTGCTTAGCTGCGGAGGGGAGCGTGCAGGGGGCTGGCCGCTGGGCACAGGCGCGTCCCCGGGCTCACGCCGCGGGCACTCGCGGCCGTCGGCTGACAAACGGATGTAGC